CTGCAGACAGCAGAGAAATCTGATCACAAAACAAACAAAACAATGCTGACAAGAACACACACACACACACACACATAGCCTTCATGCCAGTGGATATCCACGGCTGCGAGTCTTAGGGTTTTATGACAGAAAGACTAGTTTCTCAAAGTTACTGCCATTTTTTTGTCAGGGGTTTGAACCGATAGTCTGCTAGGATTGCAGGGTCAGTGCGTAAACCCGACAACGTTTCTCAGGGGTATCACTAACTCTGGACAACGTGGTCAGATCTTAGCCATCAGTCCAACGCATACTGGGCAGACTGTCCGGGTTCGACCTCCCAATGAATCGGTGAAAGTCTGACAAAACAGTCTGAACAGTCATGCTTCTTTTGCGGAGTTGTTCATAGCTAACACACACACACACACACACACACACACACACACACACACACACACACACACACACACACACACACACACTCTGATATAGTCACAAAATGATCAAGGCACTGCTAGGTTCACTACACTCTTCTTTTCACATTTAGCGAAGGAGCTGTCCTCGCAGCAGAATCAGAGGCAGATACAGGACAAAATACTATGCACGACCCTATATGAAAGTGGAAGGGGTATGGATTGTAAGCTATACCAGTCTTATTTTTGGTTTAGCACAAACTCAGTCCTAAGCGGCACTGTAGCCCTAAGATTCGACTTGACCATCAAGACTCGACCACATACACAGCATCAATATTCGTTGCAGGAAATGTCATATATTTGTACAAAGAGATGCAGGTGCAGACCAATCCTCGTGAACATGGTGTGATGCCTCGTCAACATGGTGTGATGCCCGAATGGACCTCGAACGGCAGAACTCACCTTGTAGGTATTCACACCATCATCCACAGCTCGCTCAGCCTCATCTAGGATATTTTGTGTACTGCCCCTTAGCACAATCGTTGACAGAAGGTTCCCTGACGACTCATTTTTAAAAACAATAATCTGCAGCCAGAGAAAAATACCGTGTGAAAAAGGGAGCACCAACAAAAAGAAAAAGAAAAAACACAGTCGGAGAGTCCATTGTTTGCTCCCCTTCGCAGAGGAGAGACACCAGACATAAATTACTGTTTACAAACTTTACATGGACTGTTTGTATAGCACCTCGTACAAACACAAATGACAGGTCCCTCAAATACACACAAATGACAGGCCCTTCGTACATGCACAAATATCAGGGCCCTTGTACAGGACCCGCAAACATACACAAATGTAATAAGGTAAACGATAACCCCTCTTAGTTAATCTAAGGGAAAGGCAGACCACTACCAATGTCATTTGTGGGGAGGAAAGAGGTCCTCAACCAGGTTCTAGACCAGGGACCACAACCTGAACTCCATGTGGAACCAAGTCCCAGACCCTGGACTGCATGTGGGAACAGCACTACACCAGGATTCAGGCCCAGGACTGCACGTGGACCACCCCTAAAATTAACAGGCCCTGATTCCTGGCCAGGGCCTAGAGCCTCAGTATCCCCCTAAATAACAGAAACACCAAGTTGCGGTTATTCCAAAGAGGAACGAGAGGTCATGCATCGAGGCAGTGGACCATAACGGCACAAAGCTATGGTCATTCCCAAGCTTCTAACCTGGACATGGACCAATGCTAAAGACAACACAAGTTCTACAGGATCCTCTCTCTCTCTCTCTCTCTCTCTCTCTCTCTCTCTCTCACACACACACACACACACACACACACACACACACACACACACACACACACAGCCTGGTTATCCACCTTAGGACAGGGAAGAAAACGATGTCCTGCGTCAGGCCCAGGCCCTGCCCTTGCCATGGACCAGGCATAGAAGGGAATAAGCTCTGTAGGGTCCAGGGCCTGATTATGCCCCTCAGGAACGAAAAGAAGAAGAACACATGCGCTGGATCTGGCCCCACAGCCTCAGCTGCACATGGACCAGGCCTGAAGGGACCAGATCGTCAACCGAGCCCCCAAGGACCTGGTTATCCTCTACACACCACAAAGCTACCGATAGGGCCTCACTCCACTACTCTCGACATGCGCAAAAGACAAAAATCATGGCAGTGTATCTTTCCATGTTCTAGCGAAATATTCACTCTCGTTTTGCGCATTTCGAGAGTAGTGGACCGAGGCCCGTAATCTCTGGAGAGATTAGAGAGGTGTAATGGCGCGCTACCCTAGGCCTGAACATAGTCCACATATGAAACGGAGTAGGGGCTTTCGGAGAGATGAGAGAGATTTGTGTACTAGGGAGGGCCTGAGCTTAACTTGAACATAGTCCAGGAACAAAACGGTATACAGGCACAGCACAGCTCGAGATCTCATTCCGCCACTGCCTACTACACCAGGTGTGCAAGCCTGAACTGAATAAAGTTTCAATCATTTGGCGGTGGCCAAGCCTCGTCTGCAGGTCCGATCAGCTGCGTGGTGGTACCCTGTTACAGAAACTCACAGTGTGGACACCAGTCTTTCCGCGAATAGAACGTACTGTCATTCTAACTATGTTTGGCCTGAATTCAGTCTATGCACATCGATAATGGCCATACGAATGCTCTCTATTTTGGGGAAGACGGTGGCTGAACTAGGGTTTCGTTTTGGACATACCTACAGGATCAGGTCTGCAACCTGGACCGCATTTTCGGCTCCAAATGACCATCAAAAGGCCAACAGCTGGGGGAGGGGGAGGAAGGGGAACAGTTGAATAAAGACAGGAACATTCGACTTCCAATCAGCAGCAAGATGCAGTCCAGAAAGAAATCCCATGTTGGTTGCCCTGAGAGTTGGGAGATACATATTCCACTTAGCTCACCACAGCACACTGCAAATGCAAAAGCATTTACCAGGCAGCCAGAGTACAGTAAATGCAAAAGCATCTCCCAGACAGAGAGCACGAAAGTGGACAATAATAGCAGCCTACGCAGGGTGAATGACACGAACACACAACTGTTACTACACAGATCAGGGGTTAGAGTCCTGCATGAATCAGATGAGCGTAACAACGATTGGGGCTACCCCCCTTTAGAAAGGAAGGGGTAGAAAACAGGACAATCATAGCATCAAAATGTGCCTGAGCTGAGAAAGAGGACTCACATTCTCTCCTGCAATCTCATCCACTGCTATAGAATCGGCATACCCAAGCACATCTGGGCTCGGTGGTTCAAACTTCACCTGCAATAAAAACAGCAGAGATGGCAATAGACAGACAAGCATCACCATGTTACACGCATGTACGCATGCATGTAGACATCAGTCAGCTCTACATTCATATATGACAACAAATCGTCCCAGCAGATTCCCATTTATAGGTTACCAGGGTGGCCCAGGACCACTTGCCCGGCCTGTCTTGATAAGTGTGTGAAACTCCGACGAAACAGTCTGTCGCAGCCCTTCATCTGTTGTCCTCTTTCTCCCTCTCTGCCTACGGTTTACCCGGCAGTTTCGTTTGATGATATATAACCTAATTTTTATTACAAATTTGGTGAAGCATTTTGCCGTGACCCTGCGACAAACGTTGTTCAGTTTATTTCTCTGCATAACATAGATTTGTTTTCGGATTTTTTTTTGCAGGAACCTTCTCTGGCCCTTGCCCGGCCGGCTAGGCCAACCAGGCAGCCGAGGTGACATGCGCCGCCCGGTACCCAGTTTCACAATCCTGCTAGTAAGCAGCATAATCAGCTAGGTCTCGAACTCCCATTGTCTGCGGCAATCGTTATTCAGTTTATTTCTCTGCATAACATAGATTTTTTTTCGGATTTTTTTCTTTGCAGGACCCTTCTCTGGCCCTTGCCCGGCTAGGCCAACCAGGCAGCCGAGGTGACACGCGCCGCCCCGTTGGTAGGCCAGTCATTTACACAGTTTCACAATCCTGCTAGTAAGCAGCATAATCAGCTAGGTCTCAAACTCCCATTATCAAATCTTTACCAAATTGGCTCCCCGCCAATCATATCTCCATGCTCAGTATGCATGAATCTGGTCATCAAATTCACCACATTCGAGCTAACTTAGTATGCGCATAGCACTGGTGGCCGCTGAACCTGACCCACATTCGAGTTAACATTCTCCTGTCCAATCCGTCCCGCTTCACGGCTCCATCATGAACACAACAAATATGTGCCTATGAAAAATCTGGGGCTCCACTTGTTACTACTCATCGGAATCTGCCTTGTGGCTGAATGGTACACAAGTGACTGTTGATAAACAGATCCAATCTCGAGTCCTGGTGATTGCAATGATGTTTGGGGCCACTTTCCCTTCAAAAGATCTATTCTACCAACCAACCAACAAATCCGAAGAGCACAAAAGCCTTGACCAGGCGTCTAGCCCAAGAGAGGCTAAATCAATCATGCTCTTCTTATGATCCCACAGATGTCCCAAATGGAAGAAATCTGTTGATGTCGCCCAGAGAGATCGTGCGCACTCTTAACCTCACAAAAAACAACACATAGGCATTTAATTGGCAAATCTAGTCTGCCAAAGGGGGCCCATGAATGGTGAACAATGCCAACCACGTATTCCATTCGGGGGAAGAGAGGAATGAGATGGTTGCATGCAGTGTGCATGGCTGATTGCTGAATATCAGGAAGCTTACCAGTGCAACAGCACCTGTTGCTCTGCAGAGTCTACGTAGTTCAAACTTCGAGGAAATCTTGATAACCATCAACCTGCACACAAAACCCACCACCAAACATTTCTTTGGTTCATAGTAAGAAGACAGCGGCCAAGCCCAATGCGTCGTGGTACACAAAGTCACAACCGAACAAAAAAAAAAAAAGCTCTCTGCAATGTCCCTCCCTGCATGATACACATGTAACTGTTAAACAATCAGTCAGTCCTTTTCCAGCCTATTTTGTACCAACGCCAACAAAGATAACCCGCCGCGTTAGCAGGTGATCGGCCGGCCTACCAGATCAAAATTGCTGGCAGCACCAGGCAAAAAGAAAATAATTTTCACACCCACATCAGCTCGTTTTTTTCTTGGCACGCAGCAGCAATCCCGGTCTGCAAAAAGAGGCTCCAAGGAACTGGTGGTGGTCTATACAAACAGATCATCATTTTCAGTCCTGATGGGGTGCAAGGGATACAATGGCGTCTGGGGCTGAAGCCCATTTTTAAGGAAAAAAATCCACAAGCTTTTCAGCCTTGTCTGCCACCAGTGGCGTTGTGGGCGTCCATCCGTACACAGAAGCTTGACCAAAAAAAAACAACAGGAAATACAAATCGAAACTGCCTCCATTTTGCATCATTATTTACTATCTGGTATAAAGAGATCATGAGTTTGAGTCTGATAGAATAACATGGATACAAAAGCGTTTACAGTGTGCTGAATTTACAATCAAAGTTAAGACAAGACAATACAAAACATTCAGCGGCAAAAGCGTGCACATGGGCTGCATCCAAGTGAGAAATGCTATTAGCGGCAATTAGACGAACTTCTCTATTACCTGCCACACTGGTCTTGTAGCCATTAAAGAGTACCGAGTGAAACCAGTGCGGCTATAATAAAGTGGTGGTTGCAAAAAAAAAAAAAAAAAAAAAAAAAAAAAAAAATCCAATTAAGTAACTAATAATTACAGCTACCACCTATGTCATGCCAACAATTTTTTAAATCTCCAGTCAACCAGCAGGAAGCAGAGTATTAAAATCAATTGCTACACAAACATCGGAGGAATGATCCACACGAAAATGGTGAACAGAAGAAGGGAACCCCAAGCTGATAAAAATGTGATGGTGTGTGTAGAGCATGTTGGTGGATTAATTAGATTAATACTCGATGATGGCCTTGCGCATGAAGAAACAGAAGCGGAAAAATCATCCGATGAAACCTATGACAGTTCAGTTTTCACCAATTTTAATCAATCCACTCATCATCTTGACGAGCGGAAGAAGGCTCCAGCGATAGGAATTGCCGACAAACATGACTTGATTAAAATCAGATCTGATGAGCATTTGGTGTTGGCAACACACAAAATATGAAAGAAGGCCAATGCAACCGGTGTGGCAACATCCGCACCAGTAGAATTGAGATTGAAATATAAAAAAAAAACAAAAAAATAAAGAGATGAATCAGATGATAGCAATAAAGCGACAGAAGGAGCTCAAGACGTGAAGCGAGAACATCATAGCAGCACAAAGGGAGGTACTGATAAAGAAGCAGCGCTCAAAAGGACATAGCAGTATCACTTCATCATCTTTATTTCTTCTTTTTTACAATCTAGGGCGAAACTTGGAGTGAGGACGGGAGTGCCTCCACGAAGAGAAGATAATAGCCCGCAGCGTACTATCCAATTGGGATCTCTCTCTGCCCTGTCCCTCTAACTTTCCCCTCTCTCTCTCTCTCTCTCTCTCTCACACACACACACACACACACACACACACACACACGGTCCCATGTCTAGGACATCTAGACTTAAAAGAAGAGGCATACAATCGCATCGAGGATGGCAGATGCTGAGAGAAAACAACGGATAGGATGAAACATATTGTTGTTGATCAGGATGGAGTTCTTCAGTTATTCGTTACTGAGGGTTCGATCCCCTGAGTCAAGTTCAATTACCTGCTGGCTGACTCGCTGGATCTATCTTTGAGATGCCAACAAACCAGCAGGAGGGGGGAGGCGGGGGCGGGGTGCGGGGGGCGGGGGAGGGGGGGGAGGAATGGAGAGAAGTAGACCGGCGAGCACAACGGATACCTAGCAGCAAGAGAGAGCAGTGATTGGAGGAATGGCAATGGTTTCTATGTTACCTTCTCAATTGGAGGATCAGAAGTTTGCAGATTTGTTAAGCGGTGGGATGTTCGTTGTCGCGAAGAGGAGTAAAGGATGCTCTTCTTGCGTAGTGCACGTGTTAGTGGGAACAGACGTGGGCCAGCCACTGTAAGGTGTTCCTCGCTACATCATCAGTTTTGATATACTCAATATTTCTACAATCTAATAATTTAAGAAAATAAAAAGGAAAGAGCAAATTGCCAGCACACCCGTGAGAGCTAGGGATGAACAGATTTAAGGACATACGGAAAAGGTGTGGTGCGATGAGGTAAAATAAAATAGACACTTACTTGTAACGCTCGCAGAAATGAAGCGCCATTGCTCCCACAGCTGAACCACTTACAACCACACGGACTCCTGCAGCTGCTATCCCTTTAATGACTTCCTCGACCTTGTCCTCCTCCGTCTTAGCATAGTTTTCTAGCTGGAAATTCAACGATAATAGAAGCGCAGGCAGAAAGCCACACGTCAGAACGCAAACATGCCAGACCCAGTACAGTTGCAACTGTTCGGATCCCTCCAAACTCCTACTGAGCTTTGGCCGTATTTCTGGTCAGATACATCTGCAAAGTATCTTAATCATGGCGAGATAAATCCACGAAACTGCTACCGCAGAACAAACAACAAATGGGGAACGTAGAGAAAAGGAGGAAATTGGCCATGGGAGAAGGAAGATGAGGAAGAAGAACAGAGAAAGGAAAACGAAATGCCAAAAGGAATCCGAGAGCTGCAAATGTAGCACAAGGGAACGGAAGATAGACATGCAAGCATGCCTACAGAATACAACCCAATTTTTGTCGATAATTGAATGGTGCCTCTTCGAACTGCCAAGCAAACCACGCAATCAATAGTCCGACGGTTAAAAGAAGCACTCCATCTATAGCATTCATGTTCCGATGGTACCCAGGAGAAAGGTACCGTGGGACCATCTATAGTCCGCGGAACACTGCATACAACAACAGATAGAATACCACCACACATGCAAGGATGAATAATGTCACCAGTTCTCTCATCCCCGGGTCATGAACAGCGCTGATCAAACTTGCTAGAACAGAGGCTCCCATGTCCCAAGACGAAAAACAAAAAACTTTTTTTTTCTAGTGCATAATTAGTCGAGTACGAGATCCAATGTCTCCTCTTTCTTGGGAGGACTCGCTAAAGTCAGGCCTTCGTCTTCGCCCACCTTGTGTCCTGACGTTGCCTGGAAGTGCAAAGGGGAAACTGGTCACTTGATCCAGTGAAACCCCACCACAAATAGGTAAGCGAACAGCCAAACCACTCTGCAAATACTTCACAATGGGAGATTGCACCTCTACCGTCACCATCACAACTGAGTGTAGATGCTGAATTTACCAACCTGCTCGGCACTCTCGATCAGAACAGTGCCCTTCGTTTCCGTCGCCGTTGTGTCTACTCCAACTCCATAAACAACAATCTTCACACCAACAAAACGAACAAAACAATCACGACGTTTATTAAAGCGGCATAGAGTAGCATCTCAGAAAGGCAATTCAGGTGCACCTCAAGGTTTCCTGTTTACATATAGTGACTTATCCTGCTCGCGTACCACACTCCCTGGTAAGATACCTACTACCGGTAGCCGTTTTCCCATTCTGGACATTGTCTTCGCATTTGTCTTGAATGTTTTCATGGGCGGCAGATGGGCAGGGGTAGTCATAGAGAGGTTGTTCGGCAACTCAATCCTTCACACACCATAATAGAGAGGGGTAGCACTCACATTACGTAAATCTGACAGGGGTAGCACTCGCATTACGCAAACCTGAGCTATGCTATCTTCACAATCACCTTCACACAACCTTGTCCTCAATAAGGTGAAATATGCACCCTACTTGAGACCTCCAGGAGAGGACGGAGGGTAGATGGGGGAAAGGATGCAGAGACGAGATAGGGGGAAGAGACAAGGTGAAAGATGGGTGGCATCAGAGAACAGCGGCCGGGAGGGGTCACCCTACTTGGAAACTCCAGGAAAGGACGTAGGGAAGATGGGAGAAAGGATGCAGAGAAGAGATAGGGGGAAAAGACAAGGTGAAACATGGGTGGGATCAGAGAACAGCGGCGGGGAGGGGACAGCAGAGGCCTTAGCAGAGGGACGAGGCAACAAGCAGCACAATCATCTTCAGAAGTTTTTAGTTCCGCAACAGCAAAATGAAAGACTATATAAGGTGTTGACACCAACAGATAAACAGATACGGAAGCGGAAGGACCACGGAAGGGCAGCGAAAGGATCGGGAGGGACGAGGAAGGATAGGGAAGGATGCGCTACATCATAGCGCAAATGCAAGATAACTGCATGCTGGAAGGCTACTGCCGCAAGATGCACAACAACAGGGAAAACGCTAGCTACACTTGTCCTATTTTTTGCAAGTTCGTTTTCCTCAGCTAAGACTGCAAACGATGATAACCAAGGGAAAACCAGGTTCCTTCATCATGAATTTCCACCACAAAAGCAAGACTGTAAAAGGACACACAGGAGGGAATTCAGACGAAAACACACATACAAGGGCTCTGTACACCCCTTCGTCTTTCTCACAATACCTGACACAAGATGATGCAATCACAAATAGGATAACAGTCAAGGGATAGAAGAGCACCGGTGCATGAAACGGGGATAAAAGGGACAAAAGCCGACAGAAGGGGCAGGGCTAGATGGCAAGGAGTAAATAGAGGAAAAAACACAGACCTTGGCTTTGGTGGCCTGCTTGATGGTCCCCTCCGTGTCATTCTTAATCACCAGTCCCCGCACTACACTGCAGTCATTGATGCCGCCACCAACAATCTTTACAGCTCTTACATTATCGATGTTGAAGTTGTACGGGTTGTTCGGGCAGACCTGAATGCACGCCTGCATAGAAAACCAAACGAAAGTGGGTCTTATTTTCTTTTCTTTCTTTTTTTTGACTTTTTTTTTTTTTTTTTTTTGGGGGGGGGGGGG